TCGAGTGAATCCTTGTTGGTCGACTGGAAGGTGACCTCTTCTAAGGATGTCCTAGGGTAAGTTACTTGGATCAGGTCCATGATCCTACCCTAGGTACACAACCCCATCACCTGTCACGCCGGCTTCGCCCGCAGCTCGGCTCGTCACGCCGTCTTCGCCTGCGGCTCGGGTCCTCACGTCGCCTTCATCCGCGGCTCGGCCCGCGACACCGGCCTCGCCCCTGCCCACTATGCCGGGCTCGCCATCGGCCCGGTCCGTGACGCCGGCATCCCCAGCTACTTCGTCAGCCCCACCGGGTTCGCCTGTGGGCCGGCCTTCTTCGCCAACCGAGCCCGAGGCTACCGCGTCTGGCTCTGTGTCACCGGCTGACTCGTCAACGTCGCCGTCCTCCAGCCCGTTGCAGGCTGCTCCGTCGACCTCTATGGTTCCTGTGTCCCGACCACATACGCGGAGTCGCAGTGGTATTTTCAAACCCAAGGAACGTAAGGATGGTACGGTTGCTTGGTTGGCTGCTTGTTTGGCTGCTGCTATTATGGATCCATCTTCTGAGCCTCGCTCATATCAGGCTGCCCTGTGCATTCCACATTGGTGAGAGGCTATGGAGCAGGAGTTTCATGCTCTCCTTCGTAACAAGACATGGACTCTCGTTCCTCCACCACCACGGGTAAATGTTATTGACTCAAAATGGGTATTCAAAGTGAAGAAGCATTCGGATGGATTTATTGAGCGTTACAAAGCACGACTTGTTGCTCGCGGTTTTCGGCAGCGCCATGGTTTTGACTACGAGGACACCTTTAGTCCTGTTGTCAAGCCTACCACTATTCGGCTTCTTCTTTCCATTGCTGTTTCTCGTGGTTGGTTACTTCGTCAACTTGATGTGCAGAATGCTTTTCTACATGGAGTTTTGGAGGAAGAGGTTTATATGCAACAGCCACCTGGTTTTTCCGATCCTGATCGTCCTGATTATATCTGTCGTCTCAACAAAGCACTATATGGTTTGAAGCAAGCTCCTCGTGCCTGGCATGCCCGCCTTGCCTTCGCCCTTCGTGCTCATGGGTTTGTGCCGTCCACTGCTGACACTTCATTATTTCTTCTACAGAAGCCAGAAGTCACTATGTATCTTTTGGTACATGTCGATGATATTATCCTTGTCAGCTCTTCTCAGTATGCTGCTGATGCTCTTGTCTGCTCTCTTGGTGCTGATTTTGCGGTCAAAGATCTTGGGAAGCTTCACTACTTTCTTGGAGTTGAGGTCACTTCTCGTGCTACTGGTCTTGTCCTTACGCAGAAGAAGTACTCCTTGGATTTGTTACAAAGAGCTGGCATGCTGAAGTGCAAACCGACAACCACACCCATGTCGTCTACCGACAAGATTATAGCTGTTGATGGTGAGCTTTTGTCTCCTGCGGATGCCATAGAGTACAGGAGCATTGTTGGTGGACTTCAGTACTTGACGATCACGAGACCAGATATCTCTTATGCTGTTAACAGGGTTTGTCAGTATCTTCAGGCTCCCAGAGATACTCATTGGGCTGCTGTTAAACGCATTCTTCGTTATGTTCAGTTCACCCTGACATTTGGTATGCATATTCGGCCGACTTCCTCTCGAGTCCTTTCGGCCTTCTCTGATGCAGATTGGGCTGGTAGTCCAGATGACAGGCGATCCACGGGGGGTTATGCAGTATTCTTTGGCTCTAATTTGATCACCTGGAGTGCTCGGAAACAGGCTACTGTGTCACGTAGCAGTACTGAAGCTGAGTACAAGGCTGTGGCTAATGCTACTGCAGAGATTATTTGGGTGCAGTCTTTGCTTCAGGAGTTGGGTTTGTCTCAACCACAGCCTCCTATCCTTTGGTGTGATAACATCGATGCTACATACCTTTCTGCAAATCCGGTATTTCATGCCCGAACGAAACACATTGAAGTTGACTATCACTTTGTACGGGAACGTGTATCACAGAAGCAACTCCAGATCAAGTTTATCTCATCTAAGGATCAACTTGCAGACATCTTCACTAAGCCTTTACCTCTGCCACAGTTTGAGGCTTGTAGGCGCAATCTTACCCTTCTTAGTTCTTTAGAAAGTGGCTAAGATTGAGGGAGGGTGTTAGACTATGTATAGCTTCTGTCCTTATGTACGTATATTGTATGTATTGTAACACATCTATTATATATAATGAGATAAGCCACCCCTAGAGGGTTGTGCTGGTTTCCCCAAAACTTATTGTCTTACAAAGTGGATCGATGACAAGCCTCTCTACACTAGATATCCTAACTTTTTAATCATAATCTGGCCCTGAGATCCTTGTCAGCAATGTGTTTATTGACAGTATGTTCAATCTCGCTTTTTTTTCTCGAACACGCATAGCATGTGTATCATTCATTAAAGATAGAGAAAAGGATATAGGAAACCCTCCACCGATGGTCCAATTACAAATTACATGTTGCACCTCCACATCTAGTCCACTCCACACAAGAACAAGAGACTAGAGACTACTCAGGACATACCCCATTTGCTCAACTTTTATAGAGACTCCTCTACATCACCTCGAATGAGTCCTGCAGTACGCCAGGCATGTCCCTCCTGTTCCACGCGACGCACAACCCTAGCAATCTCCAGGGTAGCACCATCTAGTACCACCGAGTTTCGGTGCTTTCACAGCTCCCATAGGCCTAAACTTGTTTCTTGGGTAGGGTTACAAGGGCAGCTCGTAGGTTTCTCCTATCCAAAGAATGGGATTCAGGGAAATGGAACCTGGAGATGCCAGGTGTCTTCACATTGAAATCTTTTTACGCCAAACTAATCCAAGGCCCTAGGGTGCGATATGCTAAGGCATGTGGGCTTCAAGGGTTCCGCTAAAAGCCTGCATATTCCTTTGGCAAGGTTCGTTAGATTGCCTACCATCAACATTTAATCATCAGACATGGAGCGGCCCGGGCAATGACTGTTGTGCCTTTTGCGGCAACCTAGAAAATGTCGACAACATCCTTTTCGAGTATGCCCCGGTTAAGTTCCTACGAAGCTGTCATGGGAAAAGCTTAGGCGCTAACTAGGCTCCAAATTCCTTGGTAGATCAACTAGAACCACTTCCCATCTCACGAGGCCAACACCTTAGATTAGCCTGGCGCTCGTTTGCGCCCTTAGATTGGGCACTTTGGACCACCCGCAAGAAAATTGCTACCGAAGGAAAATTGCCTACTCATCCAGATAACTACATTTTTAAATGGCCTCTTTTCTTTCTGTAGTGGTGCCCTCTAGGGAAGAGGACTATGATGAGGCCAACGAAGTGCTTTGCAAGATTAAATGCCTCCATGCAGAAGATTACATAGTCAAATCAACAAAGTGCTCTCATGCAAACAAAACCGCCTTAAATGCCTCCATGCAAAAGAAAAGAGACGGTTAATCTTTTGCAAGAGATTAAGGAGCTCTGTCTTGAAGCCTCGATGCTCTTAAGATTACATATTTTGTAGTAGGGTTTCGCCTTTGTGCGGTTATGTTATGTTTTCCCCCTAGCCTTATTATTTGGCTAGTTGTTTCTATTCCGGATGTAAGACTTTGTAAGAATCTATAGTTTGTGTTGGCTTCATTAGTTTAAAGCCGGACATCCTTGCGCCTTTCTTCTAAAAAAATCTCTAAACAGCCGGAGCGACCTCCTCTAAGGGTACACAATTGTACCGTAAAACCGAAACCCTAATCTAGATAATGTGTACCGATCAAACGTTTACAAAACCTGGAACGTGGTGGCTAGCACTCAACTATCAAGGGTAGCGAGCTCTATTGTCCTTGCCTTGTTTGTTGAAGTATGATGGCGTCCTTGTGACATCTCTGTTGTCACCGATTACCAAGTTAACAGGAAGATGATACTATATACTCAAAACAGAGCTGTACTTTTAAGGCGGTTTGGTTTGCATGAGAGATTTCGGGAGTCTAATAAATTGCGTTGCAAGGGTACGCAGCTAAGAGCATCTCCAACAGCCGCGCTAAATAAGCGCCGCGCCGCAAATTTGGTCATTTTAGCGCGCGCAACTCGGCGGGTTGCTCCAGTGGGCGCACAATAATCGCGCGCGCGGTATAAGGAGTTGGGCGCGCGGTCGGATTCGCTATCTCGCGCGGTGTATTTGGGGCGCCCGTTTCCGCGTGCGGCACACTCGAGCGCTCGCACCGCACTCTCTCCTCTCCGCCTCCTACGCCCGCGCGCGCCGGCGCCGGCAAACTGCACCCATGGACACACGCGCCGGCACCCCGCTCACCCCATCCTATAGCCGCGACCCCTCCACCGCTGCCGCCGCCGTCGCCGCCGCCGCAAACCCTAGCCCGGGTGGCGTTGGCCTCGCCTCCGCCGGAGCTCCTCCGACCATCTTTGGAGGCAGAAGAATGGTCTTCCGAGGATGAGGACGAAGACGAGGACGAGGATTGATATGTCTTTCATTTGTGTCTTGAACTTGGTTTGCATTTTGAACTTGGTTGGACGAACTTGTGGGTATGATTTTAAACTTGTGGGCATGAACTTTTATTCATCAACTTGTTTGTGTGAAATTTTATATGTCATGTTCATTGCATTTTGAATGTTTCAAATTTATTTTGTGTCCAAAATGCCATATATGCAATGCCCCGGCGAGTCGCGCGCTGCTGGAGCGACGCGCACGCTGCATTTTAGCGCAGCTGTTGGAACCAGCGCTGGCGGCCGCGCAAAACCAGACGAACGGCGCGCGGCAAACTAGTTTTTAGCGCGCGGCGTAAAACGCGGCTGTTGAAGATGCTCTAATGATTGATACGTTTGCCTGCTGCAATGAGGTCCTTGTCAATTTACAACCCAAGTTAGAGCCAGACTCGGACCCAACCTCACGGCAACGCGACCTCAACACATGTAACACATCTCCGGATGCCCAAACTTAAACCCAAATCTACCCCCACACGGCCCTACCTCCTCACCAGCAAACCTGGCAAATAATAGCCGGCAAGAGAACACCCAAACAACCAGGAAAATCCACACGCCATCATGGCCACCACGCGACTCCGCCTCCTACTCCTCCTATTCACGCTGCTCGCCGGCACCGCCGTCTTCTCCGTCTCCGCCGCCCGCGACGCCCCTACCGAGCCGGCCGTCGCGGGTCCGGTCGGCGCGGAGCCGAGCGCCTACGAGATGTTGGAGAAATTTGGCTTCCCAAAGGGAATACTCCCGGTGGGCGTCACCGGCTACACGCTCCGGCGGTCGGACGGCGCGTTCCAGGTGTTCATGGACAAGGATTGCGAGTTCGAGGTGGACGGCGGGTACAAGCTTACCTACAAGCGGACGATCTCCGGCAGGGTGGCCGGCGGCAGCTTGTGGGACCTCCGGGGCGTCTCGGTGAAGATCTTCTTCGTCAACTGGGGCATCGACCAGGTGGTCATGGCCGACGCCGACCACCTCATGTTCTACGTCGGCCCGCTCTCCCAGGCCTTCACGTCGGACAACTTCGAGGAGTCCCCGCAGTGCAGGTGCCGTGGCAACGGCGTCGCGGACGTTGGCGAGGGCGCCGGCGTGGGCGTGGCGACGATGTAGGATCGGGCAGTTGGTTACGTGATTTCATATACGTACGTGTACGCAACAAACTGTTGGTTAATTTGGTTTCCGGGATTGGCGCGCGTGCAATTCTTGCACGCGATGCTGTGAATTAGTTGATGTAAGTCGACGGATGCACAGCATGATTGGTGTGCGTGCAATGCGCTGCACACGGAGGAAAAGGACCCCATCAAATAGGGTGTCGATTCTATTTGCCTTATCTTTGTGATTCTTCTTCTTCTTCTTCTTCTTCTTCTTCTTCTTCTTCTTCATAATGCGTGCAATTGTCATATTTTGCTTAGTACTCCCTTCGTCTCATAATATAAAAGTGTTTTTAATATTATTATAGTGTAAAAACGCTCTTGTATTATGGGAGGAGGAAGTATTATTTTTATTCAACGTTTTTATGTCGTTTATCGTCTTTCGTCCGTTGATGAGCGTTACATGAGTGGTGGTGTCGAGCTTGTCGGGGGAATGTTTGTAACGGAAAAACATTTGGATCAATTAACCAATCTCTAAAAAGGAGTTTTCTAAGCGCACATCACCCCTCCTCCGCAAGTGTAGGGGTGCCCGGATAGAGCTCTAGTTTCCCCACTTTGGGTTTTTTTATATAGTAGGGTTACACGCCTAGTGGAGGTGGGGGGACGGGGGATGTCTCCTTGACGTCGGGAAGGACCTGGCACCACTGGGTGCCCAGATGGCGGCGCAGAGGGGCCGACGACTCCTCCTTGACGTGGCGTCCAATTTGTACGCTAGTGTTAGGCAGAGGGTACAGTGGCTCCTCTTTGAATCGACACTCGATTTGGACGCCGGGTTGCGCGGAGGGGGCAACCATGACGAAGCCTAGTCGATCAATGATAGGCACAACATCTCCATCTGCTGCCTGAACTTGTCGTCTGAGCGGGCCGCTGCGGTGAGCAACGATGGCTGCTTGTTCTCATCGTTCAACATCGTCTACACCTTTACGGTGGATGGAACTGTGGAGGACGATGATCCCGACGACCGTGGGTGACGGCGTGAACTGGATCCGAAGCCCCTTAGATCCGTCATCCTGGCGTGACGGCGGCTTGTTCGAGTGGTAGCCGTCCAGCAGCATCACGTCCGAGTCTTCTCGACGTTAGTCTTCTTGCCCATTCTGGCAGGCGGAGGTGCCGTGGTGTGTAGCGGTCGGTGGAGGTGTGGGAGAGGAGGAGGATTGTGTGGATATGATTTGTGAAGGAGGAGGCCGACAAACTTGAAAACCAGATTAGGCTTCTCTATCATCACACCACAATGAATGCAGGTAGGCTAGTGGCCGGTGAGCCAGTCATGCCGGAAAGAATGCGCGGAGGGTTCTAGAGCGGAGATCGGAGAGGGTTTCTGGATGGGTCGAGGGTGTTTGAGTCCAACGTGGCAGACGTCCGGACTTCCCAGAGCCCCCCCCCTAAGGAAATATGCCCTAGAGGCAATAATGAAGTTGTTATTTATATTTCCTTATATCATGATAAATGTTTATTATTCATGCTAGAATTGTATTAACCGGAAACTTAGTACATGTGTGAAAACATAGACAAACAAAGTGTCACTAGTTTGCCTCTACTTGACTAGCTCGTTGAATCAATGATGGTTATGCTTCCTAACCATAGACATGAGTTGTCATTTGATTAACGGGATCACATCATTAGAGAATGATGTGATTGACTTGACCCATCTGTTAGCTTAGCATGTTGATCATTTAGTTTGTTGCTATTGCTTTCTCCATAACTATACATGTTCCTATGACTATGAGATCATGCAACTCCCGAATACCGGAGGAACACTTTGTGTGCTACCAAACGTCACAACATAACTGGGTGATTATAAATGTGCTCTACAGGTGTCTCCGATGGTGTTTGTTGAGTTGGCATGGATCAAGATTAGGATTTGTCACTCCGATTGTCGGAGAGGTATCTCTGGGCCCTCTTGGTAATGCACATCACTATAAGCCTTGCAAGCATTGTGACTAATGAGTTAGTTGCGGGATGATGTATTACAGAACGAGTAAAGAGACTTGCCGGTAACGAGATTGAACTAGGTATGAGGATACCGACGATCAAATCTCGGGCAAGTAACATACCGATGACAAAGGGAACAACGTATGTTGTTATGTGGTTTGACCGATAAAGATCTTCGTAGAATATGTAGGAACCAATATGAGCATCCAGATTCCGCTATTGGTTATTGACCGGAGACGAGTCTCGGTTATGTCTACATAGTTCTCGAACCCGTAGGGTCCGCACTCTTAAAGTTCGATGACGATCGGTATTATGAGTTTATGTGTTTCGATGTACCGAAGGTAGTTCGGAGTCCCGAATGTGATCACGAACATGACGAGGAGTCTCGAAATGGTCGAGACATAAAGATTGATATATTGGATGGCTATATTCGGACACCGGAAGTGTTCCGGATGGTTTCGGAGAAAACTGGAGTGCCGGAGGGGTTACCGGACCCCCCCCAGGGAAGTATTGGGCCTTAGTGGGCCTGAGGGGAGAGAGAGAGGGCAGTAGCCCAGGAGGTGGTGCGCCCCCTCCCATGAGGAGTCCAAATTGGACTAGGGGAGGGGGCGCGGCCCCTCTTTCCCTCTCCCTCTCCCTCTCTTTCCTTCCCCCTTCCCCCTTCCTAGTAGGACTAGGAAAGGATGAATCCTACTCCTACTAGGAGGAGGATTCCTCCTCTCCTTGGGGCACACCAAGGCCGGCCGGCCTCCCCCTTGCTCCTTTATATACAGGGGCGGGGGGCACCCAAAGACACACAAGTTGATTGTTCCAAGCCGTGTGCGGTGCCCCCCTCCACCATAATCCACCTTGATCATATCGTAGCAGTGCTTAGGCGAAGCCCTGCGTCGGTAGCAACATCATCACCGTCATCACGCCGTCGTGCTGACGGAACTCTCCCTCGAAGTGTTGCTGGATCGGAGTTCGTGGGACGTCATCGAGTTGAACGTGTGCTGAACTCGGAGGTTCCATGCGTTCGGTACTTGGATTGGTCGGATCGTGAGGATGTACGACTACATCAACTGCGTTCTCATAACGCTTCCGCTTACGGTCTACGAGGGTACGTGGACGATACTCTCCCCTCTCGTTTCTATGCATCACCATGATCTTGCGTGCGTGTAGGATTTTTTTTGAAATTATTGCGTTCCCCAACGGTGACATCCGAGCCAAGTTTATGCGTAGATGTTATATGCACGAGTAGAACACAAAGGAGTTGTGGGCGTGGGCATATACATATTGCTTGCCGTCACTAGTTGATTCTTGATTCAGCGGCATTGTTGGATGAAGCGGCTCAGACCGACATTATGCATACACTTACGCGAGACTGGTTCTACGACGTGCTTCGCACACAGGTGCCTAGTGGGTGTCTGTTTCTCCAACTTTAGTTGAATCACATTGAATCAACAGGGTTCTTTCTGAAGATCAAAAAGCAATCACTATACCGCGTTGTGGTTTTTGATGCGTGATGAACCACAAGTATAGGGGATCTATCGTAGTCCCTTTGATAAGTAAGAGTGTCGAACCCAACGAGGAGCAGAAGGAAATGATAAGCAGTTTCCAGCAAGGTACTCTCTGCAAGTACTGAAATAAGTGATAACAGATAGTTTTGTGATAGGATAATTTGTAACGAGCAACAAGTAACAAAAGTAAATAAAGTGCAGCAAGGTGGCCCGATCCTTTTTGTAGCAAAGGACAAGCCTGGACAAACTCTTATATAGAGAAAAGCGCTCCCGAGGACACATGGGAATATCGTCAAGCTAGTTTTCATCACGCTCATATGATTCGCGTTCGGTACTTTGATAATTTGGTATGTGGGTGGACCGGTGCTTGGGTACTGACCTTACTTGGACAAGCATCCCACTTATGATTAACCTCTATTGCAAGCATCCGCAACTACAACAAAAGTATTAAGGTAAACCTAACCATAGCATGAAACATATGGATCCAAATCAGCCCCTTACGAAGCAACGCATAAACTAGGGTTTAAGGTTCTGTCACTCTAGCAACCCATCATCTACTTATTACTCCCCAATGCCTTCCTCTAGGCCCAAACAATGGTGAAGTGTCATATAGTCAATGTTCACATAACACCACTAGAGGAGAGACAACATACATCTCATCAAAATATCGAACGAATACCAAATTCACATGACTACTAATAGCAAGACTTCTCCCATGTCCTCAGGAACAAAAGTAACTACTCACAAAGCATAAACATGTTCATAATCAGAGGGGTATTAATATGAATATAGGATCTGAACATATGATCTTCCACCAATTAAACCAACTAGCATCAACTACAAGGAGTAATTAACACTACTAGCAACCTACTAGCACTAATCCCGGACTTGGAGACAAGAATTGGATATAAGAGATGAACTAGGGTTTTGAGAGGAGATGGTGCTGATGAAGATGTTGATGGAGGTTGCCCTCTCCCGATGAGAGGAGAGTTGGTGATGACGATAGCGATGATTTCCCCCTCCGGGAGGGAAGTTTCCCCGGCAGAACAGCTCCACCAGAGCCCTAGACTGGTTCCGCCAAGGTTCTGCCTCGTGGCGGCGGAGTTTCGTCCGAGAAGATGGCTTATGATTTTTTTCCCATCGAGAGACTTCATATAGCAGAAGATGGCCACCGAAGGGCCACCAGGGGGCCCATGAGGTAGGGGGGCGCGCCCAGGGGGTAGGGCGCGCCCCCACCCTCGTGGGCAGGGTGTGGCCCCCTGGTGAATTTCTTCCGCTGAGTATTTTTAATATATTCTGAAAATGTCTTCCGTGAAGTTTCAGGACTTTTGGAGCTGTGCAGAATAGGTCTATAATATTTGCTCCTTTTTCAGTCCAGAATCCTAGCTACCGGCATTCTCCCTCTTTATGTAAACCTTGTAGAATAAGAGAGAATATGCATAAGTATTGTGATATAATGTGTATTAACAACCCATAATGCAATAAATATCGATATAACAACATGATGCAAAATGGACGTATCAACTCC